GTGGGGGCCACCAAGCCCGGGATCGCCGCCCCGCCGGGGTTGCTCAGCCCCACGGCCGGAGGAGGAGGGGGCTTCCCCTTGGAAATCCAGAGGCAGAGGTGAGCGAGGGGCTCCCCGGACGCCTGGGTCCCCGGGCGGGAGGGGGAGGGGGAGGGGAAGGAGAGGGACCTCCCCACCCCTATTCTGCATTATCTGCTCCGTATAACAAGGCGATGGGTTTCTCTGCCGCTGGCCACTCTTTCCTCCTTCCTCTGTTCCTTCCGACCCTTTTGTTGGGATTTTTATTGCACTAACAACTCGGGCTTTCCCTGGCTCCCTTGAAAGAAAATTTAAAAAAAATGCGTGTCCGGTTTTCAAGGCTGAAACTCCCCCCGGGGTCTGCCTGCGGCGTTGCTCTAACCTTAGGCGGGCAGGTCTTTGTGGAGCGGGTGGGCGGGCACGAAAGAGTTAACGGTGCCATCTTTTGCCCGGGCACCTTTAGGGGTAGGAAAAGCTTTCCAGCTGGAGGCATGTTTAGCGATCAATAAGGCATCGGGTCTTATGGGATGTCCTTCGGAATCAACACAGGGGCTGCGCTGGAAGAAGGAGTGTTTACTCTCAAGTAAGCCTGGGTAGGAGCGCAGCCTGGGCACACTGAGGGCATCACCCTGCTAGACACCCGGAAAGGGGGGGGAATAAAGGAAAGCAAACCATTTCTTGATCTTGAGCAGCACCTCAAAAATCAGAATGCCAAGGACACCGAATGAGCTTTTGCTGCCTCATAAACCTACTCTCTTGTTCCTTTTGAATTTCTGCTAGTGATTCTTTTTTCTTTTCTTTTGTGAAGCAGTTTTTCCTTGCTGGCAAGTTGATTTGGGGCAAAACTCTCTGTGTTTGTCTCTCTTGCTCTTTTTCCCCACCGCCTTCCGTGGGCCTCACTATGCCCTCTGCAAAAGTGGCGGACAGAGGGTGAAATGAACATTCCCTTTTTATTTCCAATCTTCTTTTTCAAATAGAATGAGAAAGTCTTGATGACTTTTCCTCCTCCTGGGAGTCTTTTGACTTGGCCGAAGATGCCATGGAGACAGGCCTCTGTGGCACCACATTCTGTTGTTTTCCTTCTCGTTTTTTCTTTAAAAGAAGTTGGCATGGGACCTATGATTACCGTTAGGCTGACTTTTCAAAATTGGCTGTTTGCTACTTGAAAATCCCTTTACACATTATTTTGCTTTGTAGGAGCCCAAATCCTGCTGCATAGCTGTGCCTGGAGAAGGCAGGTGCCAGCACTTGCGCTGGCGTCTCCTCAGCAATTAATAACAAACTGTCCACTTGGATTTGTGGGCATGCACCAACCCACCAGACTGGTACATGGCAGATAGTCCAAAGAGAGATTCATAGATTGCCAGCAAGGAGCTTCTGCAGGTTTAATTGTGCAACAGGATTTTGTACCTTAATATCATAATATGCTAGGTAGAATTGTATCTGTAACCAAAGCTGTGTATGAAGCATTTTATTCATTTATTTAGCATCATTTTTAGGCAGCCTTTCTCCACATGTTGCTAAAGCAGTAAATCAAGTTTGGTATGAAAGGAAGAACTGCCTAGATACATTTTTTTTCACCCATGGAAATGTTACATCTATAAACTTCAGTGCATCTGGTTTGCTGAGCAGAAGAAGGATCGTTATGAGATCTGACATGATGCTCTCTGTACAGCAGATGGAGGCTATGTTCTATAGTCTTCTGCAAGTTAATTGCTTCTGTAATTGGCATAATTATCTGATTCTTGTTGGTTCAGAAATGCTTTAAATTTGCCTCCATGATGGGGGTTGGCCTCGATGATCCAGGGGTCCCTTCCAGCTCTAGAGTTCTAAGGTATTATGATGTCTGTTATATATTAAGTACCTAATGAATTAGATTTTTGTTTTGTGTGGGTGTTGTTGTTTTGATCTTCCATTGCTAAGCCTGGAAGGGGAGATAAACTTTCTTTATTTGGACGTAAAGTGTTGCCAGCAGATCTGCCTTCGACAGCCCTGTAACTTAACCTGCCCAGACAAAAACTGCTTTCCCTGGCGGGTTTGTTTCTGTTTTGCTTGTTTTGTTTGCCCTGGCTTTTCAAGCGTGGTGGTAAGAAGAGGCTTGTTGGTGGTTGTAGCAGGAGTTCGAAGCTGGCTCTGCAGAGAAAAGAAACCGTCTCTTCTTCAGGAAAGGAAGAAGAGAGATTGTCCTCAATGAGGTTTTGTGAAAGTTTGAGTAGCGCGTGGGAAAATATCTTCCCACCATAACTATGATGGCCATGCTTCTGAAAGTTATACTAGGGAGAAAAGGGAATTTTTGGTATTGTTCTGGAAAGTAATTTCAAGGTTTTCAGTCTGAGGCTATGACATCAAGGATAGTTATTTTTCTTTGGCAACATGCTCACTTCTCCAGTGACACGTTCATTGATTTTGGAAATACTCATTCATCCCAGTGCATCTGTCTTAGCACAGGCCGGGAATAATTAAGAGAAGTGCAACTTGGTTGATAGAAGGTGCATTTTCCACAGGTGAGGCCCACAGCATTCTGTTAGGATCTTGGGGATGTCTGAGATCCCAGTCATATTTGCCCATGATGATCTATCAGCCAGTGCATGGAGAGGAGTACATGCAAGGTGTTCCACTCCTTCCCTACAGCCTGAGTCTGTATATTTTGGATGGAATGCATGAACAGGCTTTACACATGAAAATATCAATATTGGGAACTCTGATGTGACCAGTTGCACTCTTGTTTTGCCAACTCAAGTAGGTCATGGAGTACTAGGAGGAACATATTTGGGAGTTTCCCCCTGATTTTGGAAGCTAAGTTACATCTATCCTGGTCAATACTTGGATGGGAGACTCACCAGAATCTCCAGGCGGGGTTCTGAAACTTTTCAGGCCCATCACTGCCATTCAGAATCTACAGTGCTGGGCTAGATGGATCAAAAGTCAGTGTAAAGTGCTGCTAGGTTCCTTTGAATCATTTTTGGTGTCCTTTGGATCACTAGTTCCTTTTCTCCTCAGTAGGCAAACATTTGTGAAGCTGTCTACATTCTCCAAAAACAAATCTGATAGAGATTCTTCCCTATTTGCCTGAAATTTGGTAGGTACTATTGTGAGGAACATGGAGAGAACCATATTGTGCCTCCTTGCCTGTTGTTGTTGTTGTTGTTACGTGCCATCCGGTTCCTTCCTAATTAGGATGACGCTATGAATTAGTGATCTCATTAACAAACCCGCATGAATCTTGTGGCCATGACATCTTTTGTTGAGTCAAGTGTCATGTCCAGTCCTGCTCTTTTCCTGCAGCCCTTTTCCCAGTTTTTATTATCTTTTCCGGTTGGTTCCTTCCAATTTAGGATGACCCTATGAATTAGTGATCTCATTAACAACCCTGCATGAATTTTGTGGCCATGACATCTTTTGCTGAGTCAAGTCTCATGTCCAGTCTTGCTCTTTTCCTGAAGCCCTCAACTTTTCCCAGTTTTTATTATCTTTTCCGGTGAATCTTATCTTCTCATGACATGCCTGAAGGATGACAGTCTCAGTTTAGTCTTTTCTCTGCTTCTCCTTTTCTTCTTCTTCTAGGGATGGTTCAGATTTTATTTGTTTAGAACTCCTTTTTGGCTGACCAGGACCTAGAATATCCATACGGTGGTATTCCTAGGTGCTGTGTACAGCACCTAGGAAAATTCATTTGAAATCTTGTATCGAAAGAAAGCCTGTCATATTCCCATGAAACAATGAAGACCTTGTTAGGAATGGGGGACAGATGGAAACCTTATTTCAATCCTGTTGTGATTAAATACAAAGTAATATAAGGACAGTGTTTCAACAGCTAAGCATATTGAAAAGATGTAACTTGTGTTTTTCCTCCACGTTAAAACCCCTCAAATTCTTTCTGTCCTGAATCTATTGTTTTTTTTTAAAGATGATTCTTGTCAGAAACAAATTTCAAGGCAGTTCTTGCCTGTCTTTAGTTGTGATCACTGTTTTTTTTTTTTTTTTTTTTAGTTGTCTGAACATTCAGGCAAGAAGGTGAGAAAAAGATTCCTGCAAAGTTGCTATTGATAGCCCTAAAAACAGGGCACGGAGAGCTGAACAGATCTATTTTTTGAATACCTAGAACATCCACCTCCACCACCAGCAGGATCATGGTTCTGTACTGGCAGGGGCAGCTTTCTGGGAGTTGTAGTCCAGGCTCACTGCATAGATCCTGTCTTTGAACTCTAAAAGCTAATGAGAAGACTTAAGATTTTCTGAGGTGGAGGGTGCATGTTGAGTGTTTTGTGTACCTCCCTTTTCTATAGGAAACAGAATAAAACAGAATAAAACAATGCAGGCGGGTTCTAGAGGAAGCTGTGGCCTTTTGGGCTCTCAGGCCCAGCTGCTGGCTCAGTACAGTATCCTTCGAGCATCCCTAAGAGATCGGTGTTGAGTCTTTGCTTTTGAACCTTTCAGGAATGGGCAGCCTTTCCCAAGTTTCCTCCCCTTTTCCCATTTCGAACAGTAATTCCCAACCTTGACTACCCAGATGGTCAAAAATTCCCAGAAGACTTCACTAGTTGTGCTGGACAGGATTTTTGGGAGTTGTAGTCCAAGAACACTGGGTGACCGAAGATTGGGAACCACTGATTTAGACGTTTCACCTGCCTGAAATCTCTCTTCTAATGTTCCTATTGGATCTAGTACGGTGTCTTTTTGAGGTGTCTCCTGTTTTCTTTTGCCTGTATAATTATTTGCTATATTGGTTTAAACCCAGTGGCTAATTCCAACTAGTTGAATCACCTGCTGAAGTCAAAACGATGCAACTCCTGTCGATTCAATGAGTTTGCTCTTATTGAGACCACTCACTGGATTTAGGTTGTCTCTTTAATTCTTCCAGCAATTCTCACCTACCTTGGGAGCCTGTCTCCTTAGAAAACTGCCTAGCTTTTCCCAGAAAGCAGTAGTTTCCATGATTGACACATGGCAATTTGAATCAGATCCACCCTGACGGGTGGTGTTGCTGATGAGCAGGCGTGCATCTTGAACCTCTTCCTTCTGGCCCTCTAACTGCAGCCTCTTTAGCAGTGTTATTTTGACACTGAGACCAACGTGATGA